GGTGGGGGCGTGCGTGAACCAACACCCGGAGTTGTTCGGCGCAGCAGTCGCCCAGGTGAGTTTTTTGTATTCTCCCCGTGTGATCTGGTGTTGGTAATCTGGTATGAACTGGCTGTGTGCATGTGGCTACGATGAATTGAATTGATTCTTTTTTTACAACCATACCATGCCGGGCGACAGGCACAGGCAAGATCTAGACGTCACTCGACGTTTTTTTTTTTTTTGCATGCAAGAGGCTGTTTGTTTTCTGGAGGGCAGGTGTCGTCGCTTTGGAATGTACCTGCCGTGTGTTTTGTATTTTTGCGCAGTGGATGTTTCAGAATGAGTTCTTGCCCGTGCCTGTCCCCCCTTTCGTGCCGAGTATCCGATTGACGCACCCCCCATTCGCGATTGGCTAAACGTGGCATGCCGTATGCCAGTTGCGTCGCCGTCCATGTGGCGCTGTCGCTTGCTGCTGTTATTTATTGATGTTGCCTACTTTCCGTTGATCTTGTCGTGACCGCTGTAGTCAGTGGTGCTGGTGGTAGCGGAGATGGTGCGGTGTTGCGCCTTCATCGCACCGCGAACCGCGCGATCCTTGGTTCCTTTTGATGTGACCGTGCCGGCTTTCCTGTGCGGGTCCCATACGACAGGTGGCACCGGGACAGAATGCTTGCTTTCTTCGGTGGGTCACACGCTACAACTACCGCAAAATACTCGACGAAAATCGACAGATCCGTTGAAAGATCCGTTGATTCTTCCAAACCGCCCAAGTCCGCCGCTGCATCCACCATTTTTAGCGTCGTGCCGTACAGACGGTGTGCCTGGTAGGCAACAAAACATCGCTTCGGAATGTTTCCGCACTACTGCTGTTGTCGACACGCTAGAAGTATTTTTTTTTGACAGCGATAACATGACGTTAGGTGGGCGTGATGGACATGCTGCGTTTCGATGAGTTCACGATCGGCTACGCGTGGCGAAGCGACTTCGGCAGCTCCAAGGCAACCGAGGAACAGTTCAAGACGCTTCGGGCATACTCGCCGGTGAGATGCATGTACAGTAGATGCTGGTGTTGGGGATGGTGGTACATGTACTTCTGTAGTGTTATGGATGGATGTCTCCTGAGGAGGCTCCAATTGGTGTTGGGGATGGTGGTACATGTCCTTTTGTAGTGTTGTGGATGTATGTCTCCTGAGGAGGCTCCAATTGGTGTTGGGGATGGTGGTACATGTCCTTTTGTAGTGTTGTGGATGTATGTCTCCTGAGGAGGCTCCAATTGGTGTTGGGGATGGTGGTACATGTCCTTTTGTAGTGTTGTGGATGTATGTCTCCTGAGGAGGCTCCAATTGGTGTTGGGGATGGTGGTACATGTCCTTTTGTAGTGTTGTGGATGTATGTCTCCTGAGGAGGCTCCAATTGGTGTTGGGGATGGTGGTACATGTCCTTTTGTAGTGTTGTGGATGTATGTCTCCTGAGGAGGCTCCAATTGGTGTTGGGGATGGTGGTACATGTCCTTTTGTAGTGTTGTGGATGTATGTCTCCTGAGGAGGCTCCAATTGGTGTTGGGGATGGTGGTACATGTCCTTTTGTAGTGTTGTGGATGTATGTCTCCTGAGGAGGCTCCAATTGGTGTTGGGGATGGTGGTACATGTCCTTTTGTAGTGTTGTGGATGTATGTCTCCTGAGGAGGCTCCAATTGGTGTTGGGGATGGTGGTACATGTCCTTTTGTAGTGTTGTGGATGGATGTCTCCTGAGGAGGCTCCAATTGGTGTTGGGGATGGTGGTACATGTCCTTTTGTAGTGTTGTGGATGTATGTCTCCTGAGGAGGCTCCAATTGGTGTTGGGGATGGTGGTACATGTCCTTTTGTAGTGTTGTGGATGTATGTCTCCTGAGGAGGCTCCAATTGGTGTTGGGGATGGTGGTACATGTCCTTTTGTAGTGTTGTGGATGTATGTCTCCTGAGGAGGCTCCAATTGGTGTTGGGGATGGTGGTACATGTCCTTTTGTAGTGTTGTGGATGTATGTCTCCTGAGGAGGCTCCAATTGGTGTTGGGGATGGTGGTACATGTCCTTTTGTAGTGTTGTGGATGGATGTCTCCTGAGGAGGCTCCAATTGGTGTTGGGGATGGTGGTACATGTCCTTTTGAAGTGTTGTGGATGTATGTCGCCTGAGGAGGCTCCGATTCCGTGTCCTTTTGTGGTGTTACATATGTACTTTTCGTGAGGAAGCTCCGATCGTTTCTCCAGATGTTTTCGGAACAACAAAACGGATTTTTTCTTGTTAAAGTTTCGATTTTTGGGGAAGACAAACAATACTAGTGTGGTCGTTTGGTTTCAGTATCATTCGAAAACAGCTGACGGCAGTCTTGCTTGAATCAGACCGCTACCTACTTTGGCGAACTCGGGCAACGTGCTCTGGCCCTCTTCTCGTGACAAAGCAACGACAGCATAGTTCTAGTAGCGCGTTGTAGTCCTGCCTTGTTTGACAGTTTCTTGCTCTTTCGCCCTGCCCTTCCCGCCCCTCCCCTACTCCCCGCTGCCTATTTGGGCCATTGACATCCGGCAGGTGCACAACGTGGACCCGAAATCACCGCCCTACCCGGCAGTTCTGTTAACTACAGGTCAGTACACGCGCTAGCACGACTGGCAGCGTTTACGTTCCCTAGTGTCTTTGGCTTGTCAAGTCAGCGCTAACGACAATTGGCAATTTTCGTGTGAGAATATCAATTATTTTTATTTTTTCTTCTCGACAGGCAGTTCACTGCAAGTGACATTTTTTGGTGCTTTCTCGTTTTCTCAGTAGTAAAACTCGTAAAATCAGCATGCTACCTGATTCATAGTCAACAACAGCAAATACAATCAGCAATCTAAAAGTCTTGTTTTGACCCAAATGCATAGATACCATCGCAAATCTTTATTCTCAGGTCGTGTTCCTTCTCGTGTCAAGCATGTAGACTGTGACACCGGGGCGATGAGATCTTTTGGTTCCAGCTTTTTCGACGAGTCGTTTTGGCTTCGTTCGGACGACGCACGCGCCTGCTAGGGGTTTCGTTGCTTAAGCCAGGCCGCACGTGCGCGAAACGGTTCAGACATGCAGTCTACCTTGGGGCTGTTGTTGTTGTTGTCTCAACATATATAAAAAAAGGAGATATGTGCATCACAATCGAGCCGACATAAGATGTTCGCGGTTCATGATCCCACCCAGGGAGGAAAAATTCTGTTGAGGACGGCTTTCGTCGGACTGCTCATGATACCAACGTGACAAGAGGGTGCATGTCCCTGCTGCGAGACCAACACGTTTCGGCACCTTACATCTCCTTCCGTGCTGAACCAAACAAGAACACGCACGCGGCACCTGAGTCGTACAAACCCCCTGCAACTACCGCGCGCTTTTGTCTTGTGCAGGAGACCACGACGATCGGGTGTGCCCGTTGCACAGCTACAAGTACATCGCGGAGCTGCAGCACACGATCGGCTCTAGGCCCGGGGAGGAGAAGCCCCTGCTGATCCGGATAGATAGGGACAGTGGCCACGGCGGGGGCAAGCCGACCGCAAAGGTACACGGGCCGACGACATCATCTGCCAATTTAGAGTCAAAGTTTTCGCTTTGTAAACAGTTGGCTGTTTCTCTTTCGAAGAATGTTTGCCCCTTTTTGTTGTCCATTGTGTCATGGTCCTCACACCTCTGCCGCGTGTGTCCCTCGCACCCCTGGTGCCATGCCAGGCCCAAGGGTCCGCTTCGCTATTCTGGAGCTTGTTTTAGTGTCACCGTCACCTTTTTCGTCTGTCCCTGTCCCTACCCGCCCCCGTCTGTGCGCGGTACATTCGCAGGTGCTGGCGGAGGCTGCGGACACGTACGTGTTCATCGCCAAGCACACGGGGGCATCATGGACACCGTGAAGGGTCACCCACACGTTCCTCTTATTCCCATCGTGACATTCGCGCTTAAGAGCTGGGTAGGGTAGTAGTCGGTGCGCGGCGCTCGGCTTTTGAGGGTCGACAGAGCAGAATGTGACCGATTTTGTGTGCCGCTGCGGTCACCTTTCGGAATCCGGCTTGGGCGTGAGGTTTGGAACCGGCTTGTGATAAAGTGCATCCGGGATATTTTACCTGATTGAGGGGGTCCTGGAATGCACTGCAGTGTCACAACCACCACCAGCCGCGTAGAACAGCCGTCCGTAGAGAGGGGGGCACGAAGGCACGGGGGGTTGTGCTTTGACCGCAACTTCCGGCTGCATTTGCCACTTTCAGCGAGACCTCGTGCTCACGTGTGTTTGTACGCGGGTGGGGACGGATCGCGCGTTTTTGTTACATACGGACGGACATGATAGAATGATAGCTGCACCCTGTTTGATTTTGCCGAGGAGAGTGTAGAGAGGCGAGGCTTGCTTGCGTTGCACGCATGAACGTATTGACTGTCGGGCATGAAACGAGTGTAGGTTTAGAACCACTGCTGACGACGAACAATCTACGAGGTCGAAGTGAAGAACAACAGAAACGGATGGAAAAGTGCGTGTAGAACACAGGGCCCGAGTTTTCCTCAACGGCTTTCAACTCGACGGAATTGTTCCTGTGTACCATATGGGGACGGGTCCCAAGCCGTGAGTGCCAGGTATACCCCATGTTGTGCTTCGGCGTTACCCCCTAAATGCCGATGATGGCATGTCCGCAGTACGGAGCCGAGGTGGGTGGTACGCTGCTTGCTGTCTGATCTTCCTCCCACCCAGTTCCGGTTTCCCTGCACAAGCAACACCCGTCTTGGCCCTGTCCGCCCCGGAAGAAGCCAGCTGTCCGGCTGCTTCCAAAAACTGCTCGTGCTTTCCCCTCTTTGCCCATCTTGCTTGGTTCAGAAGACAGGCGAAAGAGGCAAGTGGTAGAAGGACATTGAAGCAGAGCTACAGCGGAATCTATTGCTGTCCGTCTTCGTTGCAAAAAATCAGGCAAGCGTGTGCACGCTCCCATATTGCTCGTTCTCCGAACACGCCTGTGCTGCATCTCAAGCTTTCCGTTGTCATCATCTCGACAATCGGTTGTTCGTTTTGCCTCCCATCTCACGCCCAGCATCTCAATCTTCCCGTCCACCTCATCTCGACAGTGAGTTTGTTTCTTCTCGTATCGGAGCACATGGAGGCAAACTTCCTTGCCCCTTTCCCCGCTGTCCGTAACTCCTCTATCTAACACTTCTAAGACTAACTATTTTTTCCTCTTCTTCTGGCGAGACTGTCTCCAAAGCTTCTCGAGCTCGGCCTCTGTTGCCTTCTCGTAAACCTGCCAAAAAAAAAAAAGTCATGCATGGGCGTGGGAGCGGGGCTCAGACTTAATGCTTGCCGTTACAAGACTATGCCATCGGCACATCTGATTCGAGACAGCAACCAACGTCCGCCCCTCATTCACCAGTACTCCCTGTCGTACAGAATCCTCCCGAACGTGGGCGACAAAGCGCTCGGTTGAGTGTGCAACGAAATGACATGGTAGCTAACAAACGGGTGCTTGCCGCGTTGGCAGTTGGGGCTTCGGTCGCAAGCGTGCCGGAATTTTCAGAATATCGGCTGCGCCGCGCACCGATACAAACTGGGGAATAACTGACAACTCAGCCGATTCCGAGCTACCTTGCAGAACACCCATCATTTGCTACTTGACTGAGTAAGGTCAGGGATTGGGCATCGTAAAAAAAAAACAAAAACACGCCCAACGACACTCCACATATCACTTCGCAAAATCGATACCCTCCTTGCATCATACACCAACACAAACGAGGAGGGTTCGCAACCAAACGGACTCAGGATCACAAAATACTAGAGTCTGCCGGTGGTGACAGAGGGCTAGTCGACCAAGACACGGTGTTGGAATGAAAAAAAAAAAAATGCGGCCTAACCTCGGGGAAGCAGTTGGGGAGATCTTCGTCGTTAGCCGAGACGTCCGTGACTTGGGCGTGCTGGAAGTTATCGTCCGACAGAGAACACCTGAATTACACCAACGAACACAAACACGGCAAAGCAAGGAAGCAGAACCTCATCGATCGTGCGCCCAGAGTCGGCCGCCTAAACTCACGTGCAAGCGCGTTTAGGGCACGCTGTGTGTGTTTTTGTGAATTAGCACTGGCCGCGTTAACCAAAGTAGCTCAGCGTGTAGCGTGAACGTGTTTGCGGGACGTGTTACCTCGAGTGTGCCAAAACAATGTCATGTGGCAAGAGGCTGCCCATGCACCGGGCTGACAGGCTTCGCGTCGATGGGACACAAAACGAAACGTCAAAAACGAATGTGTTTCGAGGCATCGAATCGAAGTGAGCCAGTCGGGACACACCCAGAACCCCCGCCGCCCACCCTAGGAGTGGAGGCGCTGCTTCTAAATCCCGGCTGGGGAATGAATATAGTTTAGTTGCCCATATGAATGCGTCGATGTTCTCTTTTCACCTTAGGTACGCCGCCGAAAGTCTTTCCGCTAGGTCTGCCTTGAGCCCCGTAGTCGGAAGATCCATCCGCGCAAGCTGGGCCTTCAGCTCAGCCACCTGCTGAGATATGTATTCATTTTCTTTTTTGTTAAGTGCGCGGTTTCACGGGACAAGGATTAACCACCGTTGAGATCGACGTGGTTCGGGTGAATGCTTCATTTCATTGAGGGGGGATTGAGCCTAGAACGGAATGCACAAACCGGAATGAACGGTCCCGGACAAAAACTACTTGGAAACACTACAGCAATAGTCGAAACATGTCGCCAAGGCAGAAAGTAAAGCGGGCTCCACACACACGCACAGAGTACCATGACATTTCCGAAGTGGAAAAACATCGCCCGGTAATATCGCATCGTAGTTTGCACATGTTGGGCCTGCTAATAAATCAGCTGAGTGAGGCAAGATCGGAAGGCAGGACACGACTACGGGCGGCGGCAGTACCTCAGAAAACAGAAAGTGAACACCGCGGTATATAATCCACGTCTAGGGGCCTTCCCTTGGACGAGAAAAGTGAAAAAAAAAGTTTGATCAATCTACCGTCATTTCACTCGTGCTACTGGAACTCCCACACACACTTGGTGTTCGAAAATGTTTCAACATCGGTCATCGGTAACGATAGTCCCACCGGTAATGTCCCACGGTATTATCTCGGTACAGACGAAGACTGCTCCCGGTTCGCTAAATCAAACATATGCCATGTAGAGAAAAATGGATTGGAGCAACGATTCTTCTTCGCGCAGAAAAACAAAATACCCTCATCAATCAGCCAGAGGCCTCGGAGACGAAATCAAGACAAAAAAATGGAATATGGCGTATACCGTGCGGGACATCTTTTGCGCGGGACCCCGCGAAAGCCGGGATGAGAGCGCGGTGTCACGTGGAAAGTTTGACGGTAGACGCACTCAAGTAATCGTTGCCTTGGGGTGTTGTGGGATAGAAGAGGTAGGCGTCGACGTGCAAGGGACGAGAAGGCCTCTAGGCAGGCGGCATCCGCAAGAATGAGCGCGATATCAGCAATCTCACCAGTGACAACCAACAACCGGCAGCTCTACGGACGCCCGCGATGCGCCACGACCACCACCGCGATGCGCCACCACCACCACCGCCATCGCCACCACCACCGCCATCGCCATCGCCACCGCCACAGGCGGCAACCCGAAGACAGCTTGCTACACACTACAACCTCAACTCCGCGGACCCCCCTTCGACAATAGCATCCCCTTCCCCACCCCCCCGGGGGCCAGAAGGCACACACACCTTCATACCCTTGACGGAAGCCGCGTTGGCCTCGGGGTCTAGATTGCTCTGCCACCACCTAGAAAACTCTCCCTGAGTGTCCAGCCCCTTGTCCTGTGGTTGAATCAAACATCAAACATGCCAGGGGGGTTGCGCGGAGGTTTGTGTCGTTTGCGAACAAATATTGATTAATGGAACCCTTGTCCAAATTTGATTCTCGGTATGTCCTCTAATCTAAATCCCATCAAGGATACCAGGAGGTCTGCGACCCGAGTTAAAAACGAAGACCAACAGGAGCCCATGGGCAATTAAATCTTCGAGGCTATGTGCGGTGAGCTAGCTTCTCGGGGCCAAATTTGGGAGCTACCGTGGACATGTTGTTGCTGTTGTTGTTGTTTCTCACATTAGCTCTTTAGTCCACAAAAAATGGAGAGCCCGTGGTCTCAAAACCCAGCACATACGACGCCGCGGGGAAACAAAACAAAAATAGGGTACAAACCACTCGGGAAAAAGAAAACAAAATGACGAAGAGAAAACAACACGTACTGCACCGACCGTTCGAGAAAGGAGCCCTCGGAAACAGATCAAAATAAAGCAAAAACAAAAATAAAGGAGGACGCTTCCCACACCTGCCTAAAGAAAAAATCAAAGGGTAACGTACCAGCACCAGGAACTACGCACGAGGGCATGGGAATAACGGAGAAAACAGGACAAAGAGGAGGCAGATGGGCAGACAGCCACATATACACAAAACAAAAGCAACATGTGTGCCGAGCAGTTGTATTCTCGGGGATTATGCCCTACATACCAGTCCTAAAATGGAAATTTTGATCGAACCTGGTTGGAACTCAACAGGAACTTCAATGAACGGCGTTTCCAACGAGGTTGCTAAAGTATCCGAACTGGAAGTAGTTCCCAATGAACCACGACCGGCGGACAGCCTCCACCCTATGTAGCTCCCATACCTTGGCTCCGGCAAGCTACAGTAGCTTTCGGCAAAGGTGGGAGAGCAGAAACTCTTAGATTTGATCAAGAACGGACTTCTGTGAGGCGAGCACCTACAGTAGTGACGAAGAAACCGCGTCTGCTTTGCAATCATTTTTGCAGAAATCCTGCCCCCCGTTGTGTGTTTCTACCGCGAGTGGCATGGGATTGGAGTTTCGAATCGGAAAAGCTTCCATACCGACGGCCTGACCGTGCGCAATACGCACAATATGCAAACGGGAAAAAAATCCTTGCACATGTCAACAAAAACCATGTCCCTGCAAGTAATCTTGTGCTGGTAAGCAACATTGCACCTTTTAGTGGCGCATTGGAGAGCCTCGAACAAAGGTCCAGAGAACAGGGAGACGCTAACATCCATCCTCTCGAGCCGTTAGATAACCATCTCAACACACATTCCCTCGAAGGATAAGTTTGTCTCGGGGTGAGCATGTACGTTAAATTTGAAAACACCACGAAGCCCTCCGGGATGTAAGTGCAGTGCGGCCCCACGTCGCAGCTTCGTAATCCCTCTAGGGTTTCTCTCTCTCTGGTTCTTACGCTGTTCAACACCCCCACTTGATGTCGCCACAAGACTCTCACCTGAACCTCCTTGATGTACCACGGCACGGTGTCACTGCCGACGTACATTCCCACGGGCGTCTTGTTGTACCCTCTCCCCCTCCCTCTCCCCCCCCCCCCCCCCC